AAGGCTACGGTCATCCCTGTTGCTTGTGCACCTATTCCTACCACACTTTTTCCTTCGTCAACTTTCTATGAATATATTTCGATACAGCACTCTGTGAACAGCTAGCCCTTTCAGCGATGACCTTCTGTGGCTTACCCTTCTTGTGGAGGGTGTCGATGATCGTCTTCTGGACAACTGTCAAGTCAGTAGTCTTCCCCATAATTGTGGTTGCATGTTCTAAACTAGCCCAGGAGGTCCCAGTATTTATACTCAAAATTAATCAAACTAATCAAGCTCAAAATGGAATATTCAAATTTTTTGAGATACTGAATTTTAAATTTTCCTAAGCTGCAAGTCGTAACCATCAGAATTAAAACAAACAAACTCTTGAAATATTCCAGTTTGTGAGCAATGAATCTAGAATATAAGAAAGTTTGCTTTTTTTTAAATTAAATTACAAAAAATAAAGAGCTTTTCCATGATATTCTAATTTTTTGAGATGCACCTGTATATATATATATATATATATATATATAACAGCAGGACTGGGGAAAGAGGAAGTAAACTAAACACACCTGAGAGTATCTACACAATAATACATTACATTTGGAATGAAATAAAGAATGAATAATGTCCACAACCATGCATTCTTTGGTTATTATGGTTTCAACAGCAAGACACTTGACTTAAAGCAACTGTATGTAGTTTTGTGTATTTTTGTGACCCCTACAGTTAAGTGAGGAATTCAATGTAGTTTTTACAGTGGACAGCTGTACACGTGCATTTGTTGCTGCCGTAAAGCAAGTCACCAAACTTACATACTCCCAGAAGAGACGTTTGCGGTGGAGTGTGGGAAAGAAACAGAAGACATTCGCCTTCTTAGAAGTCAGTGTACCACCAGAATGATTTTAAAACTGATTATTTCAAGGTCAAAACTTACATACGGTTGCTTTAAAGAGCACTTAATGTCACAGTTAACTTTTTTCCACCGACAGAGGACCTGTGCTGATGCTGGAGCTGGTGGCTATAGAGCAAAAGTAAGTTAAGTTATTGTATACCTCTGAAGTGACTGAAAGCGGCGAACAGTTCGAAGAGAGGTTTGTAGAACCAAGCTCTGGGTCTAGCATAAACACCGGCACAGTTTTGGTAGAAAGAGAGGTACAGTATGTGGGTTCCCTCAACTGAACATAAAAAAGAGGAAAAATATCCTCTTTTCTAAAAATACGGCCCAATGAGCCAAGTGTGGTCAGGCTCATAGTGAAGTGCTGTGGTTACAGGCTGTGAGAACAGCACAGAGAGAGAGAAAGAGCAGGTCAGCGATGGTTGAGCTGAGCGAGCTGCACAGACGGTTGCTGTTTGTAGGTTCGCCGGATGTCCTTCAGAGACTCAGCCAGGGAATTGAATGATGGACGCTGCCCAGGGTTGAAATCACAGCATTGCTCCATCAGTAAATAAACCTGCAATGAGGATTCACGGGTTGTGCAAATAAATGTTGTATTTTTTTCAAACTGTATTTTTTTGCATTTATGAATATTTGTGCTGCTTAGTTTCACAGTACCTCACGAGGACAGTCTCGAGGGCACGGCAGTCTCTCGTTTTTCTCCAGGAGGGTAATAAGTTTAACCACAGTCATCTGACCATGGACCAATCCCATCATCTCAAAGAATTTCTATGGAAAACAAAGTCATCCATCAATTTAAAAGACACTGCAAACTTAAAGGAAAAGTTAGCAAAAAATAATTTCTTTTAACAAATGAGAAATTCTAATGAATGTTCACACGGTTCTTTTTGAACATTCTAACTCCTTTTGGCCTTGGTGCATGAAGTTTGATTATTATTAAAGGGATCGTTCACCCAGAAATGAAAATTACTCCATGATTTACTCACCCTCAAGCCATCCTAGGTGTGTATGACTTTCTTCTTTTTCTCTGTAAATTAAGGCTGCACACTATTGCTGAAAAACAAATTCACTACTTAGCAGTCAGATGTCCGTATGCAGAAAGGCACAGATCCCTAAACAAGACCAAATCTGCAGATGAAACTTTTTTGTAGAAGCTTTTATTAAATTTGAACGAGCACCTCATGACTACACCACGTTATGTACGAGAAGCTGCAAAAGACACAGGCGCAAGTGGAATGTACAAAACATGGTGACATTCATTTTTTAAGTAAATATAATGGGCGATATATTGTGTCACCAAAAATTATTGAGGTCATGTACATATATTGCACGATATAAGTCGATATATTGATTATTGCGACAGGCCTAATCAGAGTTATATTAAAAATGCCGTGAATGGGGGCAGTGAATGGGGTTTAAGAATTTGAAGCTAAAAAAAACTACATGCTACACATGGCTCCGGGGGGTTAATAAAGTTCTTCTGAAGTGAATCGATGCATTTGTGTAAGAAAAATAAAACTTTATAAACCGTAATCTCTAGCTTCCGCTAACTGTCTTGCACATTCACTGGGAGTGGCATTCAAGCGGATGACGTACTTTCTCGTGAACGTGAGTGCGACAGTTAGCGGAAGCTAGAGATTACAGCTTATAAAGTTTTAAATAAGGTTATTTTTCTTACACAAACGCATCGATTCACTTCAGAAGGCCTTTGTTAACCCCCTGGAGCTGTGTGGAGCACTTTTTATGAAGGACAGATAAAATTTTTTGGGCTTCAAAATCTTAAACCCCATTCATTCATAAAGCTTGGAAGAGCCACAACATTTTTTAATATAACTACGATTATATTTGTCTGAAAGTCATATACACCTTGGATAGCTTGAGGGTGAGTAAATCATGGTGTAATTTTCATTTTTGGGTGAACTATCCCTTTTGCTGCTGCTGCCTCACACTAGGGTTAACTCAAACTAAAACCATTCAAAAATTACTTTGAGGAAGAAAAAAAAACATATACTCAGATAAAATAAAAATTTATAAAAATTCTGAAGCTCATTTTATTTCAGCTAGTTGCCAAGGAAACATTTCTCATTTTTATTAAGTTTAAATCAAATAACTAAAACTGACATAAAAAAAAATTAAAAAAAACACAACTAAATTACTGCAACTTGAACTAAAATGAAAAAGGAAAACATAAAACTAAAAATTATTTAAAAAATAAATATTAATTACAAAGATTACCAAATATTAACTAAAATCACACTGCGTCACACCAGAGCTTTTTGTTGACCATTTGTTTTTTCTGTATTATACGACGCATTTAAATAAAACGGACATTTTTGGTCATTTTGTTCATTACTGCAGGTTTACAGAGACAGCATTACAATTGTCTTTCTTTATGTGCAAAACTGGAACATTACAGAATGCACTTTTTGCATAAACATTACAAAATGATGCAAAACTATCAAAGCGAGAGACATACCGAAGGGGGGCTTTGGCGATGGTTGCAATGGGTTAAAATCTCATAGAGGGTCACAGCAAAGGACCAAACATCAGAGGCAAAGGAAAATTTGCTCTCCTTGAGGCACTCTATGGCATACCTAAAAAGCAAAAAATAATGTGTTTTGGAATAACTGCTGTTTGTTTAAACCCAGAGATAAATGTAAGGTGGCAAACATTTTTTTTTTGGAATTATTCAATAATTGTGTCGATCGATATCAAACATACTTATGCTTTCACGGAGTTGACACCACATTATGTCTAATGACGTCCATAAATCCATTAACAGATCATGTTGCATTGATAAAAGCACTCAACGTTAGAGAACATTACCCATCTCCCCAAGCCTCCAGCTATTACAGCTTACCAGAACACAGGGCTGTCTCCATCCTCACGGACACGATAGTAGATCTCCCCTTCGGGAATGTACTTTGTCAAGCCGAAGTCACCGATCTTAACCACGCCTTCATTCTCCACCAAAACATTCCGTGCAGCCAAATCCCGGTGGATGTACCGCTTGGAGTGCAGATAGTCCATCCCCTATGGGTGCAGCAGTACAGATCGGACAGCAGAGTAAGGACTATTAGTTTTTCTGAAGTAGCTGCAGTTTGACTTTGAAGGATCTGAGTTCCTCACCATACAGATCTGCTGCGCAAACAGGAGACTTTGTGCGATTCCCAGCCGATGTTTAGGCAGGTACTCTCTGAGGCTTCCCAGTGGAAGATACTCCATGATTAACTGAACCACCTGTCCACCTAAAACAAAATACCACATATAGTACACCGCGAGTGTGGCCGTCACAGTTTGCATGAGTTTATGAAATATTTCCTATAGAAACAGGAAGTGGGGTGGGACATAGCCTAGGAAACAATGACTTGCTGCGGAGGCAGTTGATATTTATAAATTTGGTGGAGGTGGAGTTGTTATTCAAGAGAAGAATTATCGATGGCCCGTAATATATATAAAAAATAAAAAAATCCCTGTTTATCATTTAAATTTGGGTCCATATTCCTAGAATGTGAAACATATATTTGCTAAAAGTGGTATTTGTCAACTTTTAGCTGTACATACATGTCATATTACACTAATAAACATATGACTAAAAGCCAATAAAATAAACATGAACTGAAATCAAATAAAATCCAGAGACTTATTTAATTCCAGGTAGCGGCCAAGGAAACATTTTTCATTTTCATTCAGTTTAACTTGATATAGTAAAATAACTGAAATAAACAAACAAAATCTATACACACCTTAAAAAAAACTAACTAATAAAAGTAATGAAAACACAACTAAATTAAAACTTTAACTAAACCGAAAAATGAGAACTATAAAATAAAATCTAATTTGAAATTTTAATGAAAATGATAGTATCTCAACACTAAAATTTCACTGCCTCAGACCAGAGCTGTTTGAGCTTTATTCAGTTTCAAATGAGCATTTCTATTTCAAATTAGTTTTAAATTAGTTTTTCTCAAATACAGGTGTCTTTTAGCTGTACACTAGAATATAGAAAGCTAATGAACATGAGCTAAAAGTGACAAAACTTTTATTTAATGTGGGCTATAAGCTAGTGGCTTTGCTCACCCAGTTCAGTACAGCACCCCTTGTATTTGACAATATTGTTGTGGTAAAGTGACTTGAGTATCTCAATCTCCTTCATCCAGGAATCGTGGAGGTTACTTCCACTCTCTTGTTTCAAGGCCTTCACCGCCACATATTCTCCCGTTCCATCATTGGCAGGGTCATAGACGTACAGCATCACCTTTCCAAAATGTCCCTGGAAGCAAGTCACAGAGTATCATAAGAAACTGAAATATGACCGTAAGACCTGAAGAAATTATTGAGCAGAAACCGTAAACGGACCTCTCCCAGATCCCTGATCTTCTTCAGGTAGCGTTTGTAAAAGAGGCTGGGGTCTCTATCTGGGAGTGACTCACATTCGGATGAAATGTCTGGATCTTATTGAAGAAGACAATAACATATCAATTTCTGAAGTCACAAACACATTTTTTATTTTTATTTTATTTTTTGGTATTAACACTGTATTATTATGGTATTCAAGTAACTTGGATTGCCATTCAAAACTATGGAACATAAATATATTATTAATAATTCAATAACATGTTTTTACCTAAGGTAGTGATATTACCTAAATAGTGATATTATGGTTATTAACCAATATGATGGCTGATAATATGAACTGATACACTTTTTATTTTTACATAATCCTGTAAGTGTTGATGCTTCAAGACATAAATATATGCTAATATACTATAAAAGACAAATAATTGTTTTGTAACGTGACAGAAAAAAAATAGTGTTAGTCAGAGAAGAAAATATGATCTGATATTGCCTGCTGATACTGATACAGATTATTTGACAAAGACTAAAAATGGCCAATTATAGTGATGGAATGAAATTAAAATTCTTGGCTGAAACCAAAAATGATGCGAAAATCAGAAATGCCTATTTTAAGTGATATTTTGTTTGGAACAACTACACAATTCTGACAAAAACATTAATGTTATGAATACATTATGAAATACATCATGTTGTTCTTTTCATTAAGTGTCAACAACATTAAAATATTGCCATTTTAAACATTTTGTAAATGAAACTGTATTGAAAGATGTAAGAAGATGTTGCTTAGTGCATTATTGACTTTAAAGAAATTCTGTTGCAAACAAATATGTTACAATTACTATTATGATGTGCCGATAAAGAATGCCTAACAGAGATCTCAAAACAAATCCCATTTTTCTTAATAGATACACTTATTATGCCTTTTAACACCGAAAATTGATGTTTTGCATTTCTGAAAGACTAACAACATGTTCTTTATTAGCAGCAGCAGTAGCTTCTCTATCTGCTCACTTTAGAGATGGTTTCTAATTGCATTAAATAGCCCCACAGCTTCTGTTCAAGAACAGGGAAATGCTTGTAATTGCTTACTGTGGCACTAATAAGACACAGCAATCATGAATTCATCTACAATTTTGCATTAGGAGAGTTGGATAGATACTGTACATCTTGAGTCCCTAGTATTAAAGAAATAGTTCCCCCAAAAATGAAGATTCTGTCATCATTTACTCACCTTCATGTCAAACCTGTATGACTTGCTTCTATATAACACACAAAAAAAGATATTTTGAAGAACACTGGGGCCCAAACAACACTAGGCCCCATTAACTTTCATTAAATGGATAAAAGAAGACATTTGTTCTTCTTTTGATGTTGGGAACAACATGAGGATTAGTAAATGATGACAGAATTTTCATTTTTGGATGAACTACCACTATAATTGTACCATGGTAGCGATAACACAACAAAACAACAGAAAAACCCTGATTGTTCAGACACTCACTTTTAATCTGAATCTCTGTTAGCTCTCTCAGAATGGTCCGGAAGGACGGCCGTGCCGCGGAGTCGTAGGTCAGACACATGCTGATAAAGCTGGCCAGCTCCTGAGAAGACGGCACCGCCAGGCGACTCTGTGTCTCGTAGAATCGCTCTTTCTGTAGATGGAGGAGAGCTTATGAGAAAGCGGTGCGAGTGTGTGGTGTCAGTACACAGCTGGAGGAAGCCGTACCTCAGGCAGTGTGCTGCCGCTGATAGGAAGATCTCCGTTGTTGCAGATTTCCAGCAGAGTCGCTCCGAAGCTCCACTGGTCCGCAGCGCTTCCTACACGGGCCCCGTCAGCGATACACTCCGGAGCGATCCACGGGATGCGCTCCACGCGCTCTTCAAGTAAGACACAAACATATGAAACAAAGACTTTGTCATTTTCTGACATAAAATGCGATCCTAGGGTGTTTGGGATATTTTTTAGTCTGGTTGATTTCTCACTCATCAGGTCGATTTTTTCATGAAAAGTAATACGATGCCTCTCCTCAAAAAGCCATGTGATTTGAGGTATTTCTATGACAAACAATGTGCTGAAGGGTTTCTGTCACTGTGCATTCTGGACAGCTGCTTCACTGCTGTAAATATGATCATCCTGACATTAATAAATGTGCTTGACTAAAGGAAGTGTGCATCACCATAAGGAAGTGGTTGGTTCGTAGCTTCCTGTTCTGTGAACCATGAGCGAATCTGATGAAGTAAACAGTAGTGACAAGCGGACTGAGGTAACAAGAGAAATGACACAGATAGAGGGGTACAGGATGTACTCGTCTCTACAGTACGTGTGAATAACAACACAGTTCTCGCTTACCTCCACGAGACAGAGCCGACAGAGAAATGCCAGGGTCACTGAGCTTCACAAATGGGGACGTGCCCTCCTCCAAACCCTTCCTGACCACCAGAATATTCTTGCCACAGACATTTCCATGGACCAAACGCTTTGTCTCCTGTAAAGAGCAAGGTTATGGATGCAGTCTCATAAGGAAGTAAAACAAAACTTTAAAAAAGAAAAAAAGAAAATAAATAATATATTGCATTAGGATGTTGTGAAATTTCATGACATTTAATGATTGCTTATCTCATTCTCATTACTGTAATACAGTATGAAAACCATCCTGTCCTTAATCAAATATGCTTTAAATAAAAATTATTGTAATAATTATAGTGATATACAGTAGTGTTATTTTTTTCACATTAGAGTAATAATAACTGGCCTTGTCAATAATGTTACAATGAAAAATATAAGATTCAATTTCCTTAATGCAAACACAACTTCTTATAATAGTAATTGTTCTTTTGATTTTGAGGTGAAATATCAGACATTTCTTAAAAGGTACAGTATACTTTACAAAATAACACATTTAATTCAAAAACATCAAATGTATTTTTCAGATTACAGAAACGAGAATTGGATGTAACTGTCAATCATATTAAAATCATGTTAAAAATAGGCTTTACAAAAACAAAAAAAAAAACGATTTCTTTATATTTTTTAATATTTTCCCTTTGATTTAGAGGTGTAATATGTCTTGAATTACTTGTTTATGTTTAAATTATTGCTATTTAATTAATTTTTCTTGAAATTAAATATTTTCTTGAGTTTTTCTTTGCTTATAAAAATAGTAAAGAATATTTCTTGTTATATAATGTTCCCATGCAAAAACAAACAATTATCACTTGAATTAAATTACTTTAAAATTTTCAAGGTGACCTTGTTGCGCATATTACATGTACTTACTATTTGTAATAACAATAAATTATGCATAATTACATGCAAGTAACCCTAAGCCAGACCCTAATCCTAACCATATAGTAAGTACATGTAGTTAATTAATATCACTCAGTACTTAAATGTAGAATTACACTGTAACAAGGACACCTTAAAATAAAGTGCAACCATTTTACATTATTAATATTTAGTTAATATTTCTTGAAATTCAATATTTTCTTGAGTTTTACTTTGCTCGTTAAAATATCAAATAATATTGTTGTTTTATGTTTTTTGATTTTAGGGTGAACTATGACAGTTTTTGTGTGATTCACAATTACATAGAATGATCTGAGAGAACGATCTTGGCAATTATTGATGTAAGCTGTTCTATTTTAAAAATCCCATATTGAATGAATAACTCACAAGATAGCAAAGAGCGCTGGCAAGCTGTTTAGCCACAGTAAACTTCCGCTGAGGAGTGACACGTGACTTCTCTCTGTGCAGGAACACGTCTAATGGGCCGAACTCCACAAACTCCTCCACCATGATGTCTGTTCACATAACAGCAGTACAGTCAACAGATACATAACGTGTTTGGCGGATGGTAAAAAGTACAGTTTTCATAAAAAAGACAACGAAAACAAATGACGACACTTGCGGCCTTTAAAGAGGAAGTCAAAAAGGGCACAGCACTCACTCTCAGATCCCTTGACTGAAACTCCATGCACAAAGACCAGATGACAGTGTGACACCTGATTCATGAGACTAGCCGTCTCAAAGAATGCCTAGACATGAACACAATCAATGAGACATCATCTGTGCTTTCGCTGGTGTTTACCATACATTATCAGATGACTCTTACTAGTGCTATATCCTTGTGGCTCTGGTCCAGAATTTTAAGGACAACTCGGATGCCTTTCACGTTGCGGTGATTGTTATTAGACTCGTCGTCTTCATCCTCTAGTGAACTGTGAACCTTCAGCCAGCCTGAGTAAATGTTAGTCCTGGTCCCTCGTCCCAAGTGCTGCTCCTGCATCCATCAAATAATGTCAAAAAGAGTTTCTTCAGTCACGGATACTTCATGACCCAGGGGTTAACATTTTTCTCTTTGCTACATGAAGCCCACATCACATTTTTCAAATGATTTATAAAAAAAAAGGCAACCTCATTCATCCCATTTTCATCACAACAAAAAAAAAAAAGTACTTGATGTCAGCGAAGGCCGAAAAATATAAATAAATAAGATATTTTTGAAGTTATTTACTTGTTGGTGCTTTTTTTATTGTTTTTGTTATTGCACAATATATTTGATATCATTTCCAAACTAGCAACATTATGCAAATTAGTAATTAATAATTAATTTAAAAACAAAATTACTCTATTTAGGAAAAAACTTAATGTTTTATACACTATTTTAATGTTTCTTTTGGTCAAAAGTGCCCAAACTTAAAGAAACACTCCAACACATTTGAAATATGAAAAACTACAAGTCGGATATCTAGAGAAGTGCTGTCTGCTTTCATTTTATCAGTGCAACTAATCTACCAAAGTGGAATGCATGAAAAAGTCCCTTATCAGTGGTTTGGTACTGTAGTGTTCAGCTCATGAGGATAAAAAGGTGAATGATTGCGTACGATCACATACCTTTGTAATTTCCTTGTCCTTAATTTGATGAAACCGCAGCTGGCTCAGGTTTAGGGCTTCAGAGACTGTTTTAATGCTACTGTTGGCACCCTTTCTCATTACGAGAAGGTTTGATAGCTCTGCAAGATGACCATAAAAACCCGTTAACAGGATGACTCACTAAATGATAAGAATCATGTACTTCTGTGGAATTTTTCCTAATCAGAGATGCACTCCAGGATGACTCAGAGGTTTGAATGTAAAGTCTGCCAAGCAGCAAATACACACTCACCTCCTAGTCTGGGCAGGCAGCACTTTTTCAAAGTGAAGCTGTCTTCTCCAGACTTCAGCACGAAGGTCTTTAAGCTACTGGTGAGCTCCTTTATGCTGGAGAACTCTTGATCCCAGCCTTCCAGTTTGAACGTGGAGCCCTTCTGTGTAATTCTGAACTGTTTGTATGTTGGATTTTCTCCATCCTGTCAGAATCCAAGTCAATCAGAGATATACATTTACATTTAAAGGATGTAGCCACAGACATTTTTTTTTCTGTATTGTGACGTCCATCTGTGAAACTGGACATCAAAAAAGAAAAAAAATGTACTGTAGGGTGGGGACTTTGGTCTATGAAACGATTGTTTAAAGATTTATTTTTTATCATTTTTGCCTTTATTATGATAGGGCAGTTTAGGGCTGGCAGGAAGCAAAGTGGAAGAGAGAGAGGGGGACGGGATAAAGGCCATGTGATTGATTGAGAATAGAGTCATCTTTCGTTGCACAATGATATACGGCAACCACTAAAAGATCCTTCGCACTGTGTGCCGCTAGCAATTGTACACAACAAAGTGGCATGATTCTCACAAAAAAGCTGGTCTCTTCCACTGAATTAATTAATTGTAGACTCACAGTTGCCACCTATCGAAGTCAAACCAAGGCAAGTTTGCCTGTCTATCAAGTTAATTCTTTCACATGCATCAGCTTAATTATTAAGCACCACTACTAATACTTCACCAGCGTTGGGGAGTGACTAGTTACATGTAATGCCATTACGTAATTTAATTACACACGAAATGTAATTGTAATCAGTAACAGTTACTGAGATAAAATATGTAATTAAATTACAGTTACTCATGAAAACGATTACAAAGGGGGTTACATCTGAATATTTTCTGTAAAAAGCTGCCTTTGCCCGTTTTTGATGTGCACAATGCCTCCTGCCATTTAAAGGCTTTTAGTTAGCTGATACTATTCTGATGCTTTTGATTGGTTCTCTTGTATGAATTTGCAGAGCAGCACGTCTGCCCATTACATCAATCCACATTGCCGCTGAAAGCTTTAGGCTACAACCTGTCTGAGACTTGCCACCATGGCAAGTGAAAAAAATGCTTTCCAGTGCTGGAAAATAAAAAAAACCCCAAAAAAACAGAACAATCTCAAAGTAAAAAGAGGTGCTAACTTCTGATTTTGTGGTGGCTGTGCTTTATATTTAAATTATTATAATCTTGCGTTTAGTGTTGAGTACTACTATATAAGGTTAACCCTTCTTGGTTTAGATGTTCGAAAATGATTAACAGTTGAAAACATTCATTAGAAAAGTAATCAAATGTAATCAGTTACAATACTTTAATGAAGTAATTGAAATAGTTACACTACTTATTACATTTTAGATATGGTAACTTGTAATCTGTAACCTATTACATTTCCAAAGTAACCTTCCCAACACTTAACATATTTCACATTCATTTCACAATTCTTTAATTCTTAAATTCCACCAATCAAATTGTCAGAGTTAACATAAAAACCCGTAACTAGAGCATTACCTTTGTCCGACTCAGAGATGCCAGGATTATGCGATGGTAATCCAAAACACTCCAGCGCACAATAAACGCTCCCTCCTCTGCTTCTTTCTTCAGTTTTTGGAGCACAAACTCATCTCTGAGAGCAAGATAAAGAGTGAACACATCAATAAAAATGGTGGAAGACCACATGGCTGCATGTGGAAATGCGAGGGACGTACAGTATGGGACCGTGCAGGTCATTGGTCCCACTGAGAACCACTCTGGGCGGAGCCACTTCGTGACAAAGATAATGATGCGCGTCGGTTGTAAGGCGGAAATATCCATCCAGCAGTGAAACCAGAGAGCGAGCCTGAAGACTGGAGCCCAAACGCATGTCCTGGAACACAAATATATGTAGGTGAGTCACGTACAATACGAACACAAAAGATGGAAACCAAATACAGCTTTACCAGACTGTTTACCATTGACATGTTGTCTTGCCGACTGATGCAGACGTTTATGCCCTGAATGGCAATATGAGAGATCTCAGGGAAGTCACAGAAGGTGCTCCAGTTGTCCATTTCCTGTTCATCAGGTGGCTGTGCTTCTCTGTTTTGACTAGGATTATAGTCATTCCCCTGGAAAGTGGGAAGAATTTAAGCGTACAGTTCTATTAGCGAAGACGAAGGTTAAAGTCCCCATGAAATCAAAATTAAAGTTTTTTGGGTGTTAGTATCAATATGTTAAGTCTTAAAGGGGTCATATGATGCGATTTCAAGTTTTCCTTTCTCTTTGGAGTGTTACAAGCTTGGAGAGCCAAACACTGAGGCTGCCGTCTGCGGCACCATCGCATATACGCATATTATATATTTAGAAGATATAAACATTCAAAGCCTGCAGTTCGTCACTTCCGCCAAAAAGACTCAATGATTTTTTTGACGTCACATCGTACTTCATCTTCTCATCAAATCTTCTGACCAATCAAATGCTCTCTACAATCCGAAACACCCGCCCCCTACACTATAAATAGATGCTGAAGTGCCGGCTGCTTTCCATTGGTGCAAATGAGGTCTGGTTTCACATTGTTTCACGCAAACTACGGCAGCGCACACAGTCTGATCCGGACTTTGGACGGATCGCACGGAGCGGATCATATGCGCGAGTCGGCATATATTAAAGGGGTCATATGATGCTGCTAAAAATAACATTATTTTGTGTAATGAAATGTGTT